ACTTGCAGGATCAGAGAGACGCTTCATATGCGTTGGGTAATGGCAAAACTATCCTTTATCCTGCGTGGTGGGAGGTCGATAAGGTTAGTATTTATTTTTGTATATTTAAAGGTGTTCATAAAATTTATTTGATGTGCACAATTGAAGTATTATTTATTATATTGCAGGTGTTTATCCCTGTTATAGAACGTCATTATTGGATTCTCGTCGAGCTTCAGCTCCCATCCCTGAAGACGATAGTATATGACAGCATGCTGAATTACATATCATTGTCTGATTTGAAAGATATTATTTGTAAGGGATGGAACGATCTTTTGGCTAAATACTTGGATGTGATTGCTTATTGGACTAATTCAGGAAATAAAAAGCCAAATAAGTTAAAAGTTACAATGATGAGAGACGAGACAGCGCCACAACAAACGTCGGGAACCATAGGGGATTGTGGTCCTCTTGTATGCATGTGCTTGGAACGTATGATGAGAGGAGGTAAACAATTTCTACCTCTGACAGATAGAGATAGAGGTACAGTAGGGTTGTGGTTTCGGCATTTTATGGCTAGAGAGATATATGCGAGACGTTGCCTACCTGCATCCGGGTGCTGAAAGTGTGTATAAATAACTATTTGTTATTAGTAAGTTTGAGCAAGGGTTGTTAACCTGTTACTCTTTGTTTTAGATGAAATATTGATCAAAAGTAGTTTGAAAATGTTTGGTTAAGTACCTAGAATTCAATAATTTCAGCTCATATTTTTTGGTTTTGGATGTGTAGAAAATCTCATGGCCATAACGTTTCTGCAGGTTAATCCTTCCAGATGTTCTAATTTTTGACCAATGTCAGTAAGCTCCCTATTGTTAGGAGCATTTGGATGTACTGTCTGGGGCAAATTGATGTATCAATGTGTTGTAAAGTGTAAATAAAAATTGTTTTTTTGTTTAATTGATTTGTTGTTTAATTTCAATCTGCATTATGTTGAAGGCAATAAAGACCTGTTGAAAGCACACTACCTTTAAGAAAATCGAATTTGCAATGCGAAAATAAAATTTGTGTTGCGATTTTTATTTTCACGTTGCGAATTCGATTTTCGTGTTGCGAATTTGAGTATCAAGTTGCGATTTTCGCGTTGCGAATTTTATTTTCACGTTGCAACTTTTATTTTCGCGTTACGAATTTGAGTTGCGAATCAGAGAAGTTCACAATAACCATCTTTTTTCTAGTTTAAATTCAAGGCAAACACCTTCAAAAAGATAACAGACAACAATATGATAAGTGATAACAACTGAACAGATCATAGCAATGTTCAAACTCAAGGCACTAATGCATGCCTAACTGAAAATGTATGCATTCACTCATAAAATACACATAATACAACGTTTGCATTTAAAAATCACCTAAGTTAATAGTCCCAAAAGGTGAAGGCGGTTGTGATTGGGATTTTTATTTTGATTGCGATTTTTATTTCCTTTTGCTTAACACTATATGGGCTTTGGATTTTGATGAGGATACATATTTTGGCAGAGGAAAAGATGATTGTGATGGCACTGGTGATCCACATGTCAACCTTGTATGACCACTTTCCTTGCACCGACTGCATATCGATATCTTCTTCTCTTCACCCTTAGACGGTATATGATTGTGATTTTTTGGTCGGCCAGGTAGCCTTCTGTCCATGACTGGTGGCAAAACTGTTTGTAAGTCATCTGGTATGTCCAACTCAGAAGGATGTGGAATAAGGTAGACAATCTCGGCATAAGTCTGTAAATATACTTCTGTAGTGTAGCAATCCATAGCGTATGCGCTTGAATCATCTTGGTTTAGATGAAGAGAAACTTTTATAACTTGACCACACGGATAACCAGATGTTTGCCATTTCATAAAACTACACGTCTTTGCATTTAGATCGACAAGCCCATTTAAGTTATTATCCAAGACTTCAAACAAAGTGTTTGAACATGGTTCAACTCTCCATGACGTTGACTTCACAACACGTTTCGTTATCTTTTTTTCAGTCCATGGTGTAACACGACGTTCCAATGTTCCTTTAAATTTAAATAAGTAATACTTAGTAAAATCTATTAAATATGATAAGTTACGAATTTCAAGAAATAATACTTGCATGGTTTCTTTTCTTGTAGTACCATTGTTGAATAGAGGCTAAAAAAACTCCATTAACATAGTAATGGGTATTTTCGGGAATGACGACTTAGAGCATTGATTGATTCTGCACTATTAGACGTCATGAAACCATATCTTGCTCCAAGTTGATGTACTATTGACCATCTTTCAAACCCGACATCTTCTAGTGTTTGAGCACATTGAGGCAAAACACGTCTTAAACAATTTATATGCTTATTAAAATCCACTTCCCGATAAGCTTTTACAGCCTTCCAGTATAATCATTTAAATGTGAAATAAACGAACATTTGGGCAATAGTGGCGATAAACAGAAACTCAAAACTGAGTTAACAAAATAATATACACAAGAAATATAATCATTTAAATGTGAAATACATGTAACTAACAAAAATGAGTCAACAAAATTATATTAATTTACTAACCACAGCACCAATGGTGATAAACAACAACTCAAAACTTCCATCTTTATCTGTTTTGATATGAGTTACCGACCCATGATTTTTCAGCTTTAAATTATGACAATAAGCCGGCAGTTGGGCAAACGATGCTTCTGGAGACCCCTTCAACAATTCCAAGGCATAACATTTGGCTCTCCAAGCTTGAGAATATGAGATACTAATCTTGAACCGAGCATTCATTTCATTCATAATTTCATGTCTCCGATATACCCTGCCATTTAAAAACATTAACTCAGCCAGAAAACCACCCAACACCTTTTTGTTTGCCTGTCTATGGTGAGGAAAAACTTGGGTTCTTGAACATGTATATTTATCAATAAAAGTCCTAACTTGAAACATTTCACAATCTTTTATCCTCTTTGCAATCATACGCCACGTACAGTTTTTGTCAATCCTACACTTTGTTTCGAAACGATCTTTGCTTGATTTGTTAACTTTTAGTTGATAGCCATCTTCCACACATTTCGTATACAAAGCTATCTTCAAGTCTTCCTTTGTATCAAAACAATAATCTTTCTTGATACGAATAACTTTTGTGTAACAATCAACTGCTATCTTTACCAACTCTTCTTTCGGCATCTGAAGTAATTCTGGCATATTCCAGTTATACTCCCGTTGCATTTTCTTCTTTTTCTTTTTTTCGGGGACTTCTTCTTCTTTTTCTTCTTCAGGGTTATATGAATTACAGAATGGATGTTCAACATGTTCATTCACAACCGTAACTTTCTCCTCATTATCATCAACAACATCTTCCTCGGCAGCGACTGTTTCATCATTAAAATTCGGGTATTGACCAATATCAAAATCATTACACGAAGGGTCTGTCTCTTCTTCTGAAACATCATCAAAATCCGAGTATTGACCAATATCAAAGTCCGGATATTGACCAAGATCAAATTTCAAATACTGACTAGTACTCACATTTTTGTTCCTGTTGGCTTATCATCGTCTAACTGGTCAATACGAAAATCGAAATTTGGTGCTGAAAGATGATTGAAATTTGGATTAGGGAAAGGTTGTGGGTTTTGAGATTGTGTTTGAGATTGTGTTTGGTATTGGAAATGTGGTGAAACAAAATTTTCTTGGTGATGAAATTATGGTGGAACCATGAAATTTTGAGGTTGATAACAACGTTGTACATTGTGACCACCATAAACTGGGGCTGAAGAACTTAGTTGATTACTACCCGTTACTGACCCAACTTCACTACTTCTAGGTTCAACAACATACAATGTAATATCATCTTGCGAAACACTAATGTAAGCAATGAATCGTTCAACATCTTCATTGTTAGTTAACAAATAAACTTTACATTTTCTCTGATAAGATAACCTAAATCCACTTAGAGGCTCTAAATTCAATTTCTTTGAAACACGTAACATTAGAGTTTCATAAGTTAACTTTTTTAATGATAGTTTTAGTTGAATATTCATGGGTAAAGGCATATATTGTAAAACACCATTAACATTCTCCCTTGACCCTCCTTAATACAAATTTATCCAAACATGATCAACATCAGATGATTTCATTCTACAAATTGTAAATTAATTTACTAAACAAACGAGCTATAAACTAGATATCATCACTAACTTAGAGAAAAACATACCTTTATTAAGTTGATAGTCGATAATTTGGGAGAGAAATCATTGAAAAATTATATAGAAATAAAATTATGTAAAAAAAATTAGAGATGGGGAAGGATGTCGTTGGATATAGAAATGAATGTCGCCGGAGAGAGTGAGAGATGGAGTGGAATGAGTTGTGATTTAGGCTATGAGTTGTTGCTGCTGCGTAGTTTATATACCCAAAACATTTGTTTTGCGAAAATAAAAGCTGTTGCGAAATTAAAATTCGTGTTGCGAATTCGGAAATGGAGTTGTGAAAACAAAATTCGTGTTGTGAATTAGAAAATCTTGTTGCGAAAAGGAAACTTGTGTTGCGAATTTAAAAATCGTGTTGCGAATTCAGAAATCGAGTTGCGAATTTGAAATTCGGTGTTGCGAATTTGGAAACTGCATTGCGAAATTGGAGTTTGTGTTGCGAATTTGGAAACTGCGTTGCGAAATTGGAGTTCGTGTTATGAATTTAAAAATCGTGTTGCGTAAAAGAAATTCGCGTTGCGAATTCAGAAATCGAGTTGCGAATTCGAAATTCCCGTTGCGAATTTGGAAACTGTGTTGCGAAATTGGAGTTCGTGTTGCGAATTTGTTGGTTATTTTCGTAAATCCAAAAAAAGTTGATTAAAATCGTATATTATAAGTCATTTTCGGTCACTAAAGTTATTTTCTCTTTAAAAAATTTCTTCAATGTTCAAACCGCCCATTATTGATAATTCACCCCCACATTATAAATCCCAGGAGTTTCAAAGCAGAACTCACTTCATAGTGCTTTCCTCGTTCTTTTCTAAGCTTTCTCATACTATAACTTAAAAGAGACGTTCAAGTTATTGATTTCCTACTTATGGAATTCAGACCCACGCATAAATTTGCTGTCTTTCTTCTAATTGCCTTTCGTATAGTTCTTTCAGTCGAGGGAAGACTACTAAAATCAGTGAGCAAAAATGATTCAAAGCAAGTATTGCCACCCCCTACACCTACTAAAACCTCAGATTTTGGAGACTCCATTGAAGGTTACAAAGAGGATTTTCGACCCACTACACCAGGGAACAGCCCTGGTGCTGGACATTCATTTGCAGAAGATGACGAAGATATTGTTGAACAAAAACCAGGAAGCGTTAACGGCAAGCATTCGATTTCAGGAGATAAAGATGATTTTCGACCCACCACACCAGGGAACAGCCCTGGCGCTGGACACTCTTTCCAAGAAGATGAAAATATTGAAAAAACAGGAAGGTTTAGCAATCAGGGCAATGGTAAGCATTCAATTGCAGGAGCTAAAGAAGATTTCCTACCCACCAACCCTGGATACAGCCCTGGTGGTGGTCATGTTTATCGAAGCCAAAATTCTGAACCAAATGCATAAACATGCATGTAAGTGCCCCCAGAAGCTACAATGAATGGATCATAGATTCAGAACCTACAAATGTTTACTCGCGTGGGATTTGCTTAAGTTATTTGCTTATCGATCGAATTGTATATGTATATATCACTATGTCATGTATGCTTATTAATGTAATGTGCATAACTCTTTGCAATGTATAATAAACTTGTATAATAAATCCATCATGCATTGCAATTCGTACCGAACTCTTTACAATGTATTCTTTCAACCATCTTAATAAATTGTTTCTTTTTATTTAAAGGCCAATGTTGCTGTTTAATGTACTGAAATCTCTCTCGTCCTCCGGTGGTCCTGCATATGATGGAGACCATCAAATAAAATAAGGATAAAAGTTTTCTATTTGAGGCAAGCAGTGATCCTTAAAAATATATATAGATTAAAAAGATTGAAAAAAAAAGTGAAAGGACCGCAAAAGAGAGTGAAAGGTAATTGATGAGAATTTAATATCATTAAGGAACGAAGATGAAAAGGGACACAAGAAGGAATTTATAAAATTCAAATGGAAGATCAATTATAAATTTATAAAATTCTAAGAGGTGAAAATAAATTTCTAATAAAAAATATCTAAAATATATAAGAATTTAAAATTTTTAATAAAAAATATATAAGAATTTAAAATTTTTAATAAAAAATATAAAAAATGTATAAAAATTTAAAATTTTTAAAAGGGACGACATTACTCACCCACCCTTCTATCTATATCTGAAGGGACGCTTGGAGATGGAAGAACCAATTAAAGCCTTTTTGTTCTTGATTACAATAAGGAGAAAGGAAGATATGCAAATCAATGAAAGAGTGGTCGAAAGTGATTTAGCGCACATGAATGCCTAAACCTAACTAACCCCCGACCCATGATACTATATTTTCCTCAAAGATAATTAATATAAACTTATTATCTTCCATCGAAGGAGAAAAGCGTTAATTAATTTATTGGGTGATAAAATAAAACATGGGTATTAAAGTAGTATAAAAAAGAAAAGAAAATAAGTTATTCAGTTCTTAATCTAAAATTAAAAGTATATTATTTTTATTTAGTACAAAAGATATGGAAGTGATTGGAGTTTTCTTTTCCTTTAATAAACTTTTATTAGTATTTTTTTTCATAAATTAGTAAAAAGTCCTAAAATAAATTTTTGACAGTTATAATAGAGGATTTGTATATAAATCTTTGTTATTATCATATTTAATTATTGGACATTACATATCTGGACTGTCGAAATGGTCCCTACTGACATTTTAGAGTTTTATCGGAAATCAATCTGACTTAAATATTAGGGCACATGTCTGGTTTTAAATAAATATAAACTTGGAGTCACCAATTGACTTTTGGGGTTAGATAAGTCGAATACCTAAAAATATAAATAATTTTAATAAAAATAATTTTAAAAGATAAAAAAATTGATATGCGATTGACCATAGATTCGCTTTGAAAAGGATTTGGGAGTCAGTTACGTGTGGAGAAGGATTAACACCCCCACAACGCCCAAAATTGATACTTATGATTATACATCATCTTAATATTAAAATTGACAAATTCAAGTAATATTTAAATTATGATAAAAAGGAAACTGAGTGAATAAATTAATCGAATAATCATTGAAAATACCTTCCTGGCAAGTTAAGGAGATATTTTTATAAATTAATCGAATAAAATAACATTAAAAACATTATAATTACAAAAATTGATAAATATGTAAATAAAATATTAAAAAGTAAACTTAGTGAATAAATTATAAAACTACAAAAGTTTAAGGCAACTTATGTAAATAAATCATATTTTAGGCGCTAAAAATGTAAATAAAATATAATAACATTAAAAATTAAAAATATTAAAGTTCATGGATTAAAAATTCTAAACATAGAAATTAATCGCTATAATTCGAAACATCATAAAAGCTAAGTAATGGCAGTGTAATTTAACCCTAAATAATTATTCAGGGTTAAAATATAAATTATTAAAATCTAAGGACTAAATATGATACTTTACCTAAAACATGTATATATATATATATTAGTTAGTGACTAAAATATAACTAAATAAAATTCAAAAACCAAATTGAAATGCACATAAATTGATTTCTAGTGACCAAAATATGAATTTACAAAGCCAAATGGACTGCGAATGGGGTTTTCCCATGCTCGAATTACATATAAACCCCTCCCCAAAATGACATCGTTTGAGAAGGGGTATTTATACCTCTTCAACCTGCCATTAAGGCCGTTCTTCCTCATTTTCTTTTTTTCCTCTTTCTCTCTAAGAGAGAAATGTAAAATTCTCTCTCGCATCTCTCTAGAACCCTCCACAGGAAGGATAGCCGACCACCGTTGGCAGTCGTACTCCGGCACCGACGACCACCGCCGACCATCGTTCATGGTGGCCAAAAATTGACCAAAATATACCAAATCGAAGCCCCTTTTTTCTAAATCCAAATCTGAGCTTCCATTTTCCAAAAAACTAGTCAATCGGACTAGATCTAATCATTTACCTCTGAAATCACAATGCTCAGACAATGTTTTGAAGCACTCCGACGATGGTAAGCTTCTCTCGATCACTTCTCTCTATTTTTCTATATTTTTTCGTTGGTTGGCTGTTGTGTGTTCGTCTCTTCGTTCGTGTCTGTTTGAGTTTTTTCCCCTAACTGTTCGTCCATTTTCTCTTGTAGGTAAGGGTTTATTGATACAAGGCTCTTCTGATGCCTTAACAATTGATTGTGGATCTAGGAAGGAAGCAAACAACCTGTACAAGTGAATGGCTCAAAGAGAGGGTTAAGGGTGGTAAACGTATGGGTGAATAGGAGGGTTGTTTGAAATGAGTGATGGAAGTGGAAGATGAATGAAATGGCTATGGTTATGGCGATGAAACAAAAGGGGTGGTAGTGAGGATAGTATCTTGAAGAAGTCTCAAAGAAGAACCAATGCTATTGAGAGCAAAGACCCAGACTTTATATTGCTTCTTCAAGGAGTGGTGTTAAGTACTTTGACCCACTAGTTATATGAACTAGGAATAAGAAGTATCAAGATGAAAAGAAAGGGGTTGACGCCACAAGTTTAAAATACTTGATAAGTCGATAAAAGTCACCAGGACTTAAGGAAAAGAATAATCTCACTTATATTAATCAAAATGGTCTGATTAAAAATGAAATCGGAAAGCCTATTTATAATTTTTGAAGGGACTTGGCCGAATAGGTACATGTTGGTTCGGCCAACCCTTGTACCTTCCTAAAATGACATGATTTTTTAATGAAAAAAACAAGACTTTAATGAAAATACATGCTCTTGGCTGAATGGTTATGTGTTGGTTCGGCCCTAAGGATGATTTGAATGCATTTGGAAGTTATTTGGGCGCCAAAATAAAGAGGATAAAGTCTTTGGCCGAATAGGAAGCATCCCTTGGTGTTTTGGCGCCAATTTGATGTCACATGGAGTGCACATGCTTGAATGATGCACATGGCAGCCTACATGAATGCACATGGGTCTTCTTGCTATGCTTTGATGAGGTTGCAACCATAGGATGATGTCTTGAAGTCCATGGAATGAAGATAGGCAATAACTAGACGTGAATTAGCTTCCAACGTGTATTTAGATGACATGGCATCCATTGGGCAGCCTAGAGATGAACTAGCTTCAAGGTAAGCTAGATGAGTGTCTTGGTAGCTAACTAGGTGAGTTATAGCTTGATAAACTCAAGCTAGTTAGCTTTGGTCTTCTCAGCTCCTCAGCTACTCTCCCAGCTACTTCCAGCTACCTTTAGTCCACTTTTCAGCACTTTGGTCCAAAACTCTCCTCCAACTAAGTTCAGCTACATGCTAGCTCCTCCAGCAAAGTTGAGCTTTCCTTAGTGTTCCACAAGCTGCCATATTCCGCGTGATCTATTTGTGAGCTGCATTTGATGTCCAAATAATCCACCAAGCTGCCCCAACGTGTGCCATGATCCAATGTACCTACATGTGCAAGGAAACACGGTAAGTCCATGGCATTGAGCTGTTATGAGCTAAATACCTTGTTGCCATGTATGATTATGGTGATGTGAGCTATGTTTGAAGGTCATGAGCTAATTATATCATCTCAAAATATGTGTAAGATAATGCATGAAGCTTAAGAGCTAATATGAATGCATATGAACTAATGAAATGATTTATAATGATGATGCCTTGATGTATATATGATAATCATGCTTAATATGATTATAAGACTATCCTAGCATGTTTATAACATTGTGTATCAATCATAAAGATATGGGTATATGTTGTATGCATGAATATCATATAACATGGTATTCATAAATGATAAATGGAAACATGTAATAATAATATCCTAAGAAATGATATGTAATCATAGCATATATTTGAATAATATGAAAAACATGATCAAATAAGCATAAGATGGAAATAATAATATGATAATTTATACTAACATGTGAATGCATGCTTATGATAGAATAGAATGTATAAATGATATAGTATAAGATAGGGTAATGAAGAACTCCCTTAGAAACAGCTTTAAAGAACATCCATGATGTGTTCAAGTCTTGGAGAAAGTTGGAGCTAGTTTGGATTGTATCATCCTCCCCTTCTTTTAGGCGATTTGTCCTCAAATCGAAGTAGTTTCTCATTAAAGACCTTCTTGATGTAGGAAGGATTTATTCCTTATGTTTTCCTCCAATAGATGATTCACACGATATGTTCAACCTCTTAGCTTCAAATATGGTAACTTCACATCCTTTGATGGGAGGACACAATATTTGGGAATCATAACATGTCCTTTGAACGAGAGAGACATATCCTTTGGTGAAGATAATAACTCCTTGGTGCTGATTTAAATCATCATGTCTATTTGGAAATTCATCACCCTTGGTGAAAGGACATAATCTTTGGAAGTTTTCCTTTGAACCATCATGTGCCCTTTGATGAATCTCTAACTCTTCAAGGGAATCATCTCCTTTGTGGGTGAATAATCTTACCTTTTTACTTGA